ATCCAAAAGATTTTCTTAAAATAATACTTTTACTAAGAGACATCGGTTATAATTCAACGCAAAATAAGTTACTACTTACTGTTAAAAATGTGTGACTAGCACAGTCGTGTTTGTATCAATGCTTACACCTGATTACACTTTGCATTCAAAGAGATAGAAATTTCCATCAATGATCGATCAGAAATAGCACCATTTACCAAGAATAGCATCTTTTATAGCCGATATGTATTGCGCGGGGACCCAATATATCCAATACCTTGAAGCTTCCGTTGTGCCTAGTTGAATAGCCTAAAATTTTTAAAAGACCATCACATGTAAATATACGAGCGAAAAGAGTGATAATTTAGTAATAATACAAACCATAATGTGATACTGTGGGTGATCATGTATAGGTTCACTATGTACACCCTTTATAGAGTTCATAGGTATTTTGTCTGTTCTTTCTTTTGTACCAATCCATAGTTGGTCCTGCTCCAATTTAAATGTTAGTCTAACTTTACCACCAGATTTATTTAACATGCCAGCCAACGGAAATTCTGGTAGAGGTTCCTGATAGTGATTAAATTCATCAATGAGAATAAATTAAATATATACAAATCATTTACAAAAAATATTAGTCCTTTTTAAAATCATACCTTGCTATCTAATATACCAGGCATTACATCTTCTGGAATACCTTTATCTAAAACTTTCCTATGCATTTTTTGTTGGGACAAGGGTTCTTTGCTTGCTGTAGATGCAGCTTCGTCTGAGAGATCTTGCTTTGTTGGAATTGACACAGCCAAAACATCATCTAACTTTGAACCTACTACCATGACCTTGGCACCTTAAAAATGGAACAGAGTAAGCAATAACATGAAGAAATGATTAAAAATGTTATCATATAAGATGCGTTACCTTTTGTGACCCCTAGAGTTCTTAATGTTTGATCGTCCTTAGCTAATCCTTTAATCATAACTTTTTGCATAGCTTGTGGCACAGATATAATGTTTTGGAGGTATGCTTTCAATTGTGCAACAGTTCCATCGAGTGGAAAATTCACATTAATCCGCTGTTTATTATAAATCACTTTAAAGTCTATGTTCTCTTGGGGCGGATCTTGCAAATCAGTCATGTTATTATCTTTTAATTGTGTATCGAGAATTTCACATTTTGGTATTGAGTCTTTTATTTCTGTGGACGTGGTTTCGTTAGAATTTGTATTCGATACTAGTTCAGAGCAAGGAGTTATATTACAACAATTGTCGTTGCTTTCACTTTTTGCAGCACCTAAATAAAGATAATTCATTAGATCATTAGTATTGACATATCTCAAATATACTATATCGTATTCGAAAATACAGAAATAGTTTGCAGCAGAAATAGTATCGTTACGGAAAATTTAACAGACAAGATGATGTTACCAAAATAAAGAAAATATTTTCGACAGATTACACAAGGTTATATTCTAAAGGAATACAAATTTCTAAAAAACCTGCGATTTATTGAAGATTGTGCAGGTTATAGTCATCATATAATATTTAGTGCGATTAATAAATATTTCTGTTAAAAGTTCTCATTACGAAAACGACTGTTTTCTAAAAATTGATTCATGATACATAATTGCTATTTGCAACATTCTGCAACAGGATGAACTCAGGTGGTACATATTTGTTATATTGAAAATAATTAAAGACAAACATAACGTGTAAAAATGAAAAGTATTTATTGGTTAACAATTGCTACGAAAAAACATGAAAAATCGTCAAAATTTATTGTACGTACCGACGTACTCCATGATGAACTGTATCTCGTTGACCAATCAAAACTGTTGCAGGATGCTTTGCAATTCCTACCATTCGTATTTACACCGATCTTGGGAATGACTTTCAAATTTTCGAATATATTCTAGAAACAATTGGGGAAATTTTCGAAATTCGCACGATTCAAAAATCAAATTTTAAACGCCATTTTTTCTACTCATTTTCAAGATAAAACAATAAGAAATTTTTCATACGAATATAGAAAGGCTTCAACGGTTACAATAATTTCTTCATTTTCTTACACGGTGTGGCATTCAAATTATTTAAAAGATTCTACCTGTTGTGTAAACAGGTTACTTTAGTATATGTTACAACTTACTGTCCAGTTTATTTACTAGTAGCATGAAATATTAAAATGAAAGTGCAAT